ACATCAAATATTTTTAAATATGAAAAACTCCATCTAAATTCTTCCATCCTAATGAAAATTATTTTCATTTTTTCTTAGTATCTCTAGTCCTTGGGAACATGCATTTATATATATGTTTATATAATTGCAGTCATACCAGACATAACCATTTAAAAATATAATACCATATCTTCCAAGTTTTTCAGAACCTAAAACTATTATTCTTAATAGCTGCTTAATATTCTACTAGATTATTTTCTCTCACTTTGGTGAATCACCCCATTGTTAGCCATCTAGATCACTTCCAGTTTTTTGCTATTGAAAGCTCTGCTAGAATAAATACTTTTCTGCATATAGCTTTTCACTCCTACTGAATCTTGTTGATAATTTCAAAGTGACTCAAAACACCAGATGCTGGTGTGGATGTGAAGAGTGGGGACACTTCTACACTACTGGTGGGACTGCAAACCAATACAGCCTTTTTGGAGAGAAGTATGGAGAATTCTCAAAGATCTACAAGTAGATCTTCCATTTGATCCTGTAATCCTTTTACTAGGTATCTACCCAGAAGAACAAAAATCATTTTACTACAAAGACATTTGCACTAGAATGTTTATTGTGGCTCCATTCATAATTGCGAAGTCACAGAAGCAACTCAAATGTCCATCAACCCATGAATAGATCAACAAACTGTGGTATATGTATACCATGGAATACTACTCAGCACTAAAAAGATGGAGACTTTACATCCTTTACATTTACCTGGATGGAGTTTAAATACATTTTTCTTAATAAAGTATTGCAAGAATGGAAAAATAAATATTCAATGTACTCCATACTCCAAATCAATATATAATTACATGCTCATAAGAACAATAATACACTAACATAGTCTATTCGGGTGACAGAAGGAAGCAGGAAGTGGGGGGTAAGGACAACTGGCAGAAGGAGGGAGGGCCTGAGGCAGGACCTCACCTAATGTGCACTGTTGTTAGGGTGTGTAACACAGCCCCTGGGTGAGGGGCTCTTTTACAAATGGAACTTTACTCTGGAGTGAGAACAATGTAACCTCAACATTTGTACCCTCACATTAATTTGAAATAAAAAATAAATTTAAAAAAATTAAAAAAAAGAAATAAATTTCATTTCTCATTAATTAAAAAAAAAAGACAATCTCAAAGTGACTGACAGACTTTGCAAGTTTCTGGTTTATCTCCTTACAACGGCTGTTATTCTTGGTATAACTGGCAATATATAATTCATATGCATTTCTAACGGCCAAGAAGAACTTCCATTAATGGAAAAGTTCTTAACTAGGAAGGCACATAAGAATCGTGTTGAAGATTTATTTTAGAAATATGTATGTCTGAGACTCCACCACTTCAGAACAAAACTAGAAGTTTAGGGTAAAGATGTATGTATTTTTTAAAAGCCCCACAAATGATTTTGTTGCATTTTTATAGTTAGGAAAGACCACATCGCAATTTCATTAAAACTCCTTCTGAAATTATATTTAGTCATAGTCTGTAAAAGCAACGAACCTTAAAAATCCTGGCACAGTATTCAAAGGATTTGGGATTACTGACATCATACACCAGGCACACAACATCACAAATGATCTCAGCCTCAGTTAGAAATTCCGATTCTGAGATATCATGCAACTAGTAAAAAGAAGAAGATAATGAGAAACATTAAGCATCATAATATTGATGTATAAAGCCATGTTTTATCACTTGCTCAGCTGGACTTCCTAATAAGAGTACTAATGAAGCACAACTTTCAGACCATTTTTAGAAGCAGAAAGTATAGATAAATAAGTATGTGTACTTTCTGATTCTGAAGATTCAAAATGGTGATTAAGATTCTATAGACATTAACATTTAATAAGTGGCTAATTGTAGGGACAGGCCCGTCAGATGCATTGTCCACATTCTACGGATAAGAAGACAAGCTAGAAAAATTAAGTTAACTGCCCAGGGAAACACATGTAAGAAGTCATTGGGGTGGTGGTTCACACCTATAATCCTGGCACTCTGGGAGGCCCAGGTGGGTAGATTGCCTGAGCTCAGGAGTTCAAGACTAGTCTGAGCGAGACCCCATCTCTAAAAATTGCCCAGTGTTGTGGCAGGTGTCTGTAGTCCCAGCTGCTTGGAAGTCTGAGGCAAGAGGATCACTTGAGCCCAAGAGTTTGAGGTTGCTGTGAGATATGAAGTGGAAGAAAAAGTAAAAGGGAGGGGGTGTTTTATGTTTTCTTGTTTATTTGTTTCTGTCTCCCAGGCTTGAGTGCAAAGGCATGATCATAGCTCACTGTAACCTTGAACTCCTGGGCTCAAGTAATCCTCCTGCTTCAGCTTCCTGAGTAGCTAAGGGGGTATGCCACTGCATCTAGCTTTTTATTTCTGTACAAAGGGGTCTTGCTATATTGTCCAGGCTGGTCTTGAACTCCTGGGCTCAAGCAATTCACCCACTTTTGCCTCCAAAGTGCTGAAATTACAGGTGTGAACCACAGGACCTAGTCTTAAATTTTTTTTTTTTTTTTTTTTACTTTTTTGTGGTATAGCTAAAGTACAAGTTAAGTGCACAAACAGATAAATTTTTACTTGTGTCTATACCCACAGAATCACCACACAGATCAAATGAATGTGAATGAACAAACAAGGTGAAAAAAATACACAAGTTCTACATACACTCATTAATTTATAACCAATTTGTTTTCATTTAAAAATGTAACCAATAATTAATAACCTTTATATGCCAAAGAATTTCTTACCAACAAGTATTTCTCTTGTCCATATACATAAACAGTGTTAATTGCATAGTAGGATTTATGATCATCACGAATTTTCTTCTGCCTCTGAAAACAGATCCAAAAATCTCAATATTTACAGTAAATGGTTTTCATCAACACACTGAGCTCTTTGTGTACATGTGGTTATGTTATAAATAAATAGGCATTCTTTCCAACACTATGTACTATTTATCTGTACAAAGGAGATATTGATTTTATGTTTTCTAGCTCTTAAGATCTAAGACAAAAGATGTATTTGTTCTGTATAAAGAGCAAGCAGTAGCTGAAAAGGAAGTTATTATTGAAAATATTCTAGAGCCACCTGCTGGCAATCCTTATAATACTCTAATTAGGCTAGTATTAATAGCTATGAAGACATGTAAATGTGTGGCTATAAAAATTTGTTTGACATAATTCTATTTTCTGAGACCTCTTACCATTAAGTTTCTTCCAAGGAGAGCCTGAAGAACTCCACTTTTCCCACAGTTTTTCATTCCAATTACGTTACATCTGAACACATTTCTTTGAGTCTGTTTTTTCTGCAGGTCTATCTTTTTATCTCTTGTTACTAAAAAGAAAAAACCCACTAAATATGTTGTGCCACTTAGATTCACTGAACCTCTATTCCACCTTTAACGAAATAGGGTATTGCTGTGTATAACTTTTGTGAACTGTCTGATCTATAAACAAACATACTGTACAATAGTCAAGCTGTATGTGACTAAAGTATTAAATACGATGCAAAAGGGCTCACTTAGTAGTAAAGATGCATTTCTGGAAGTTGACTGTAAAGTGAATTACTAGCAACCAAATATTTATTTCACCATAAAGAAAATATACAAGTGGACAAAATTTACAATAAATATAGCCAACATTATACCTCATCTAATTTTTTCTGTAACAAATTATTATGAATTATAAACTAGAAGATGCTATTTCAAATCTCTACTCTCTTGGAGGTATATCTATATATGGAAAAGGGACATATACTCTAGGTTAACTGGCCTTTTTTTTTTTTGAGACAGAGCCTCAAGCTGTCCCACTGGGTAGAGTGCCATGGCATTACAGCTCATAGCAACCTCCAACTCCTGGGCTCAAGCAAGTCTCCTGCCTCCGCCTCCCAAGTAGCTGGGACCACAGGTGCCCGCCACAATGCCTGGCTATTTTTTGGTTACAGCCATCATTGTTGTTTGGTGGGCCTGGGCTGGATTCAAACCCAACACCTTAAGCATATGTGGCTGGTGCCTTAGCCACTTGAGCCATAGGCGCAGAGCCTAACTGGCCTTTGAAACATAAACTATAAAAGAGGCAGGCTAGAAAACAATGTGGTTATCATCAGGACAGTGTGGCACCTTTTTCTGAGGTTGAGAGACCTCCTTAAGCTATATTCAAAGATTCAGCTACAATAGTCCTCACCTGATAGTAGCGAAAATGGAAAACAATAAAACATCTGTATAAAAACACATTATTTAACATTAAGATAAATAAAGGTATGCTTATTGATATAGAAAGATTTTCACAATGGGGGTGGCACCTGTGGCTCAGTGGGTAAGGTGCCAGCCCCATATACTGAGGGTAGCAGGTTTGAACTCAGCCCTGACCGAACTGTAACAAAAAAATAGCTAGGCATTGTGGTGGGCGCCTATAGTCCCAGCTACTTGGGGAGTCTGAGGCAAGAGAATCCCCTAAGCCCAGGAGTTGGGAGGTTGCTGTGAACTGTGATGCCACAGCACTCTACCCAGGGCGATAAAGTGAGACTCTGTATCTAAAAATAAAAAGGATTTTCACAATATGACACTGAGTGAAAGAACCTCACTCTTTTTCTTTTTTTTTTTTGAGACAGACTTCACAGCAACCTCCAAGTCCTGGGCTTAGGCGATTCTCTTGCCTCAGCCTCCCAAGTAGCTGGGACTACAGGTGCCCACCACAACACCCAGCTAGTTTTGTTGCAGTTTGGCCGGGGCTGGGGTCGAACCCACCACCCTCAGTATATGAGGCTGGCGCCCTACCCACTTAGCCACAGGCGTCGCCCAAGAACCTCACTCTTGGTTAGTGATTAGTTTCTTACCTTCTGGTGTCAAATTAAATACTGTCTAAAGGGTATTTGCTATGTCAATTTAAAAAAGGCTATCTTCTTGTGCTAGAGTTTCCTAGCAGATATGGCAGATTTTCTACAAATTGGGATATAAGAAACTCTCAAAATGATCATCTCCTTAATTTGCTGTTTCTGTATCTGTGGGTTTTCTTTAAGTGAAGCACATTGCCTAGCAAGAATGCCTGGTTGGGTGAAAGATCTATTTTTTTTTTTTTTTTTGAGACAGAGTCTCAAGCTGTTGCACTGAGTAGAGTGCTGTAGAATCACAGCTCACAGCTACCTCAAATTCTTGGGCTCAAGTGATTCTCTTGGCTCAGCCTCCCAAGTAGCAGGGACTAGAGGAGCTCATCACAATGCCCAGTTATTTTTGTTGTTGTTGCAGTTGTCATTGTTGTTTTAGCGGGGCTGGGCTGGGCTTGAATCCGCCAGCCTTGGTGTATATGCTAGTGCCCTACCCACTGAGCTACAGGTGCCGCCCTGTGAAAGATTCATTAATAAAGAAAAAGCTTGGCTTGGCGCCTATGGCTCAAGTGGCTGGGGTACTAGCCACATACACCTGAGCTGGTGGGTTCGAATCCAGCCCCGGCCACCAAACAATGACAGCTGCAATCAAAAAATGGCCAGGTGTTGTGGTGGGCACCTGTGGTCCCAGCTACTTGGGAGGTGGAGGCAGGAGAATCACTTGAGCCCAGGAGCTGGAGGTTGCTGTGAGCTGTGATGCCACAGCACTCTATCCAAGGTGGGCGATAGCCTGAGGCTCTGTCCTGGGGTAGGGGGACAGGTGGGGTGGGGGGGAAGGTTACAAAGCTGGGAGAAATACAAGTTCAAGATCAAGACTATGTGTTAACAGGCTTGTTTAAAGAAAATTAAAATACAAGATAGAAGGCTGGGCACACTGACTCACACCTGTAATCCTAGCAATCTGGGAGGCCAAAGTGGGTGGATTGCCTGAGTTTACAGGTTTGCGACCAGCCTGAGCCAGAGCAAGACTATGTCTCTAAAAATAGCCAAATGTTGTGGTAGGTGCCTATAGTTTCAGCTACTCGGGAGGCTGAGGCAAGAGAATTGCTTAAGCGCAGGAGTTTGAGGTTGCTGTGAGCTAAGATAACACAGCACTTTACCAAGCGTGACAAAGTGAGACTCTGTCTTAAAATGAACAAACAAAAAAAGAACAAAAACAAAAAACTAAATGTACTTTTATATTACAAATTTCTTTTTTTTTTGAGACAGAGCCTCAAGCTATCCCCCTGGGTAGAGTGCCATGGCATTACAGCTCATAGCAACCTCCAACTCCTGGGCTCAAGCGAGTCTCCTGCCTCAGCCTCCCAAGTAGCTGGGACTACAGGCGCCCGCCACAGCACCCGGCCATTTTTTGGTTGCAGCCATCATTGTTGTTTGGCGGGCCCGGGCTGGGGATTCAAACCTGCCACCTTAGGTGTATGTGGCTGGCGCCTTAGCCGCTTGAGCCACAGGCGTCGAGCCTATGCTTTCTTTTTTGATAAACAATAAAAAGAGGCATCTCAACTTAAAAGAAATTACTAAATCACAATGAAAATGAGTAGAGTATAAATAGAAGACTAATGAAGATGAGTTTATTTTTATTCTTTGTTACATTTGAAACTGGAATCTTACAAAATGTTACCAGTCATTAAGGTGAATACTATCCAGATATTTACCTGTAATGGCTGAAGCTTGAGACTCTTGTTCAGTCAATATCGAATAGCCTAGATAGCCCAAATACTCCAGGCACCGCTGTACATCTAAATAGGTCGTAAGGCTATGAAAGGAGAGAGATTAAAATGTGAAAACTTCCCAAATGAACATTTATGATGAAAAAAATGCCAATAGCTCAAACAATTTAAAGCAACAGACCCAGATAATTTTTGTCAAACTGCTTTAATCTCCTATGTGCCCAGCCATGGGTTTTCCTATACTGCCATACTTAAGACAGAAAAGAAAGGCAGGAGAATGCAAGATGGGGTGTGTGTGTGTGTGTGTGTGTGTGTGTGAGAGAGAGAGAGAGAGAGAGAGAGAGTGTGTGTGTGTGTGTGTGTGGAGTGGATTCCCTTCTCTACTCCACCTTCCCAGAAAGCAAGGCAACACTGAGGAGTAGTGAGTGGCTGGTAAAGTCCAGGGTGAAAATATTTTAAATAATCTTCTTCCCAAGTTAATATACCTGCAAACATTGGCCACTTGAGAACTTAGTGATAATTAAACAAATCTGAAAAGGTTTGATAAAAGCACAAAATAACTGAAAGGCACATGAAATTAATTAGCTTTTCTTATATATTTTAGAAAAGAAAAGATTCAAATGTTGAGAAAGTTAGTCTCACCAAGGCTAAAGCAATTTTGTCATCGTGCAAAAACAGAGATCTCCTTAATAAAAATATCTCCTTGGCATAAAGTTAACCATGCTATAACTAGGTCGCAGACAAATCCTAAGTCTTACTAAGAATTCACTAAAAACAATAACAAAAGATGCAAAACAAGTCTGCAGTGACAAGTAAAATATCCTTCTTTCCATATTTTGAAGGAGTAAGAATTGTTCAATAGCAATGACATTTCCAATTCTCTTAGTCTAACTAAAAAGTATTAAAATTTAGTTCAGTTTTGATGTAAGACTTACTACTGTTTGCCTGTACGCTGTCCAAAAGAAAACAATCTCTACTAAATTTATAGAACACCTATATTCTCTTAGAAATAGCAGCAGCATAATAAATCCTGCTTAGATGCAGTTATGACTGAAGCATAAGATCTGAAAAGCTTACAAAGTAACAAATGTAATACATCATAATTTTAAACTAGCTATAACTCTAGAAGAAAGATGTGAACTCTATACTCACGTCCACTGGGAAAGGAATCCCTGGTAGGTTATCCAGCCTCTTTCGTTGGTACAAACTGTGTTATTCACATCTGGCCCCCAAGGTATGTAAGGGAAAACTTTGAATAAATCTTTAAGCTCATCAGGTGACAAAGCACAGTCTCTATCCTGAAGATACACAAGGAAGTGTACATAATATTTAGATGTCGAAGAGAATAATTCCCAAGCACAAAAGCCCTCTAGTCTAATAAAGCTATGCTTCTAAAAACTAATTAACAAATGACAAGAAATACTACATTTTAACAATTCCTCCTGTGTATATAAGAAAACCTATGAAAGAGTCCATTTGAAGCTAGATTTAAAGTAGATAGCAGAAAGATTTTTTGCTAGTTCAAAAGTTTGAGTAATATTTAGCTATATGACATAAGTACCCCATAGTGAAGAGAACAGAGTTAAATCATTCACAGAAAAAAATATTTGCCATATATCATGGAAAATTACAGCTAAAAGCTTACCAAATCATGTTTGTCAAAGGTGCTCTGGAGAAACAAATATGCATGATGATTTAATTCAGTAGTGCAATCAGGAGGTATTTTTAGCCTGTTGAGAAAAAAAATTAAGAGTTAAACCATTAATCAAATATTAAAATTTAATTTAAGAAATGATTATAAAATTCCAATGAGTCTTTCTGTGGAATAACATCTACAAAAATATCTTCAATGGCATTAGACTTTCCCAGTCTCTGGAGTGATTATGGCATCTCAGAAGAGTCATAATAATGTTCAGCCCAAAGTGACATCTTATGTTTTCTTAAGTGTCAGAAGGGCAGGTTAAAATAAAAATTTTACAAATAGGCCCCCTTCTATGAAATTGGGCTGAACTAGTTAATGCCCGGGCCCAGAATCTGGCTGCATCCTCAGCTACATCCTCTGCCTCCTGACCATGAACCCTGGCTAAGTGAATGAGCTTCAGGCCTTCGTGAAAATGTGTAAGCAGGATCCAAAGCATTCTGCACACTGAGGAAACGTGCTTCCTGAGGGAGAAGGTGGAGAGCATGGGGAGTAAAATGTGACCTGCTACCCAGAAAACTAAGTCAGAAGGCAGAGAAAACAGTAAGAAGGCAGAGGAACCATCAAATGAAGAAAGTGATCTAGAAATCGAAAATGAAGATGTGATTTAACTAGACCCTGATGTCCCTCAAGAAATGGGAGATGAAAATGTAGAGATAATTGAGGAGATGATAAATCAGTCAAAAACGATCAGAAAGTGGCTGCCACTGAAGCCCTAGATGATGAACTACAGAAAGCCACTGAGTTGTTCACAGATGCCATCAAGCTGAATCCTTGGTTGGCATCTGAGAGAGTCTGTGTCTTCATCAAATGATTAGAAATTACAATCTTTTCTTTTTCTTTTTTTCTTTCTTTTTTTGTTGAGACAGAGTCTCACTTTGTTGCCCTGGGTAGAGTGCTGTCATATCACAGCTCACAGCAACCTTCACTTCTTCGCCTCAAGCGATCCTCTTCCCTCAATCTCCTGAGTAGCTGGGACTACAAGCATTTGCTACAATGCCCAGCTAGTTTTATTTAGAGACAGGGTCTCATTCTTGCTCAGGCTGGTCTCAGACTCCTGAGCCCAAGTGATATGCCTGCCTTGGCCTACCAGGGTGCCAGGATTATAGGTGTGAGCCACTGTAGCTGGCTAGAAATTATAATCTTTGAGTGGTGCCTGTGGCTCAGTGAGTGGGGTGTCAGCCCCATATACTGAGGGTGGTGAGTTCAAATCCAACCCTGGCAAAACTGCAACAACGAAAAAAATAATAAAAAAATAAAGTTAAAAAAAAAAAAAGAAATTATAATCTTTAAATACTTTTGAACCCTAAATAGTTAAAACTAATTAAAAATGTGTGTTAATTCTTATATTTTTCTTATTAAACATTTTGGATTTTTTTCCTCTGAATTATTTGCCAAGGTAGATACTTATATGAAAGATCATCGCTTTAGTTTGAGTAAAATAAAGATTTATTAGCTGGGGACAAATAGAACTCATTTAAATAGATAAAGTTTGAGTTGATATATGGTTACTGAGGCATTTTGATTTGCTTTTAAAAATGCTTTCTTTTTCTGATGAAAATATTTCAAATTGTATATGAAAACACCACACTGTACCCCAGAATTGCATTAATGTACATAGTTATCATTCAATTAAAAAAAAAAAAGGAAAAAAAATGCTTTCTTTTTTTTTTTTAAAAAAAGATGATTTATTGGGCGGCACCTGTGGCTCAGTGGGTAGGGCGCTGGCCCTGTATACCAAGGGTGATGGGTTCAAACCCGGCCCCGGCCAAACTACAACAAAAAAATAGCCAGATATTGTGGCAGGCGCCTATAGTCCCAGCTACTCAGGAGGCTGAGGCAAGAGAATCACCTAAGCCCAGGAGCTGGAGGTTGCTGTGAGCTATGTGACACCACAGCACTCTACCCAGGGTGACAAAGTAAGACTCTGTCTCTA